TGCAAATTGATTGTAACAAAGACATCACAACTGGATGAACAGAATTCCGAATAAACCTAGGTTTTGAATTGAAGGTGCTAAATATTTACCTTACATCTGAGAATTGGGGGCCCTAACTTCGATAATTGCTCGTAGTAGATTTGTGATTTCGTAGATCAGGTATCATTTGCAAGAAAGAGAATTAAGAATCGAAGTTGCTCGTCGATCTCCTTTGTGTTAGCAGCAATGGCTGCATGGGGGGTACGTCCAAGGATTCAGAGCCTTGTAGAATAAGTTAAAACTTTACCACACAATCGTTACATAAATTTTTTTGAGTATATTACATAAATAGTCCCTGTGATTTATTGAAGTTCCACCAGTTGCCACCCCAAATTTAGAAATTACATCAGTCGTCCTCATTAGGTCATTGTTTTTATACTCTTTCACCAATCGTCCCTAACTCTAACGTTTGTTAATGTCAATTGTTAAGTGCCCTCCCAAACTAAAGGGCAATTTGGTCATTTAGATATATCTACTGTGGTTTACTAAAATTCTACCAATTGTATCCCCGAGTCAGAAATTACACCAATCATCCATATCGTTTCTATTTGCTTTTACAAATAGTCTTTGGCCCTAACTTATATCAGTTAAAGCCAATTGTTAAGTGTCATCACATGCTAAAGGGAATTTTGGTCTCCTCGATGTGTTTTATTGATTTGCAAATATGGGTTCTTTTCCGATGGAGGTAGAGTATAAACTCGGCACCAGCATGCTTTGAAATTCAAGATTCGGGATTCTTTTGATGCTATGTAGGGAGGAAGGTAAGATAAGAAGAGACCTACTTTGCCACCGTCCTCTCTTTTTCGTTGCTCCTCCTTCAGCACGACACCTCCACTGTTGCCACCCTCTCCCCTCCCATTATGTTTGGGTTTGTATTTGTGGTGGAGATGGATGCTTTTGAACCTTGAGCTTGAGTTTGTCAAGTTGAGGCAAAGGAGGAGCTCTGCCACTATCATTCTGCTCCTTAAGTCGTGCAACTCGTTTGTATGAAGCCGGAATCGCTAGTAATCGGCGGTAAGCCATACGACGATGAATCCATTCTCAGGACTTGTACACACTGCTCGTCACACTTGGTCATGCTCAAAGTTGTTACCTTGACCGCAATGAGGGGGTGTCGAAAGGTAGGGCTAGTGACTAGAATGAAGTTGTAACAAGGTAGTCGTACTAAAAGGTGCGACCCATTTGTATAACTTCAATAGCGTATGGTGCATCTAATGGGTGGGTGGTAATAACGGTGGTTGTGCTTGAAAGAGATGGAGAACGGAGACGAAGAGAACGGGGCTTAGGAAGGTTAGGTCTTTTTAATTGCTTTACAACTTGTGTACTAGCTATAAACACTTACATGTTTATATTATTTTTTAACATAGAGCCTAAACAACTGATTAACAGATCTTAAGGTAAGTTACAATTGGTGAAGACAAATTTAATATGGTTGGGGGTTGTTAGCATAATCTCTAAATTAGAATGACTATTCGTTGCTATAAGCGTAAACTTAATATGTTTTTAATTACAAAAATAAATAAAAGATGATATTAATGTATGCAATTTTTTTTGATTAACCTGGATATCCAACCCGCTATGCGAGCCGACTAATCCCAGGCCGACCACCTGCTTTACAGGTAGCCCGGAGTCACCGCATTTGAACCTCCATGGCCACAAGGGGATTTTTATTCCTCCTTGGATTTGAACCTGTGACCTCCTTGTACTTTTGACCTTTGGAGCCTAGTTCAAATCAATCAGGCACCACCTTTGTGGTTTAATGTATGCAATTTACATTCTACCACAAGTAGTTCATTTCCAAACGTTATAGGCCTCATGAAAGTCTTGGGAGTCAAACAATTTCAAGAAAGTCATCCGGTCTTAATATTACGTTGTCATGCAGATGAAGATGGAAAATGACACCATTGGTAATATCGGCCAAAGAACCCAACCCAAGTACCACTATCACGAGAGAGGTTGTTCATGTGCCTGAAACTATTCTTGATTTGTTGCAAATAAGTTATAGGTTTCCACCTTTTGATGAACTCATAACACATGTATGTGGTTTTTGGAAGATGTCGTCCCAGTATATATTTATTGGGCCCGCCCTATTCCATAAACCACATCCAACTTTTCTATTCAACTCATCATTATTAATAGATACAGTTCTGTAATATGAAAAAAATATTCGTTTTTGGTTCACTAAATATATAATTAAAATGTTTGTTGTGCATAAGTTGTCGGTTCGAATACCGAAGATTTTTCTTAGGGACAAAACAAGGATCATTATTCTACATTTGACATGACTTTTATGTGAAAGATACAATAATAGAGTGAAACAAACCTATTTTTTACTAATATACTCTTAAAATAAAACTGGATTCTCTTTTAAAACATCATATACGTCTCCATATTTTACATTTTATCCATTCTTTAAATTTTATTTATTATACTTTATCCATTTTAAACTTTTATTATCCTTAAAATATTATTTTTATGCGTTTTCTATATTTTGATTAATTTATGTAGTTTATTAAATATTAACAACAATAAAAATATAGAAAAGGTATAAAATAAGAATCGTAAATTAATAAACTTCATATTTTGGTGTCATATTAATCTTCTTGATGAAATTTTTTAATGATATATTTTGTTATAGAAAAAATATTTACTCTATTATAACTCAATGAATTACATAAACCAATCAAAATATATATTAAAAAAAGTGAAAAGTACAATAAAAACCAATGAACTTTCTTGTTTGGAATGATTAAGTCCTTGAACTTTTTTTTGGAACAAATAAGTCATTGGACTTTCCAAAAAATGTTAAATAAGTCCTTGAACATTCCAAAATATGTTAAATAAGTCATTGGACAATTTTTGGAACAAATAAGTCCTTGGACATTCCAAAAAATGTTAAATAAGTCCTTGGACAATTTTTGGAACAAATAAGTTCTTGAACAATCCAAAACATGTTAAATAACTTTTTGAAAAAAATAAAGTGGTAAAATAGTGATTCTTATGACTTTTTGAAAAAAATAAAGTGGTAAAATAGTGAAAAAAATCCGGAAAAAAACCCAATGAACATTCATATTTTGAACGATTAAGCCCCTAAATATTTTTTGAACCAAAAAGTATTCAGATTTATAAAATTAAACAAATATAAAAAAAGTACTTACATTTACAAAAAAATAATTACCATTTTAACTAGTTGTACAAGTCATGAGAATGTATCAAACATGTTCTATAAAAGTTCAAGAAGTTATTTAACATGTTTTGGATTGTTCAAGGACTTATTTATTCCAAAAATTGTCCAAGGACTTATTTAACATTTTTTGAAATGTCTAAAGACTTATTTAACATTTTTTAGAATGTCCAAGGACTTATTTAACATTTTTTGGAATGTCTAAGGACTTATTTAACATATTTTAGAATGTTCAAGGACTTATTTGTGCCAAAAAATTGTCCAAGAACTTATTTAACATGTTTTAGAAAATTCAAGGACTTATTTGTTCCAAAAAAAAGTTCAAGGACTTAATCATTTCAAACAAGAAAGTTCATTGGTTTTTATTGTACTTTTCCCTTAAAAAAACTTATTAAGGGTAAATTGATCATTTTATCAATCATGTTGTCCATTTATGTCTTACCAAATGTTGAACAACTGTCATATGTTGTCCTGTTATGTAATTTGTGGGTACCAATCGTATCTTTACCATTACTATCAAGGTAGGTACCAGAGATTATTTGACTATAAGAAACAAAAATATGAACATTTTCACAAAATATTCATTGGTATATTGGTTAGTTATTTGTTTTTCATATGCGAGGTCATTTGTTCAAGTCTTTTAATACAATTTTTTTTTAAAACGTAAAAAATCTAAAATTAAAAGTTAAAAATTAAGAAAAATGACTTAAACGGAATTCGAACTCAGGCCTAAGGTGGGAGAAAATCATACAAATCAACTCTACCAAGGATTACCATTGTAGTTTTAAAATATATAGGATGTTATAAGTTATTTTGAGAAGTAAACAAGTGATGATAGCCTTTCATACAGTGAATGTCGGATTTGGCTGGTCAAGAATTGCGGATATGCAAAAATAAAAGAGGTAGTTTTGTAACTTTTACAAATAGACGGCAAACGGGTTCGTACGTAAACCCGTATGATTGACATATAAACTATGTTAACTGATTCATATATAAATCATTGTGAATTACATATGAATTAATTAACTGATTCAGATATGAACTCGTGTGATTAACACATGAACTAATTAATTGTTTCACATATGAACTATTTGCCGTCTATTTGTAACAGTTACGAAACTAACCCTCTACATATTCGCATACCCATATGAGAATTATCTGATATTTCACAGTCAAAGTGACAAATGTTGACCAGATGAAGAACTATAATAACTTGTGTACTTCCCAAATACTTTACCATTTATCAAATGAACTTTTCCTTGTATATAGAAATGCATAAAACAAAAGGGCAAATTGTATTAAAAAATAACATATTTTAACTTGATTTTTATTTTGTGTAACGTACTTATAAAACTTCTATTTTAATACCTAAGATGCAAAATTTTAAACATTTAAGTACCCAAATAACCGGTTGAAGCATTAATAGGTTATCATGCTGATGTGATAAGTGATGAGATGAAATTGAATTGAATAACAAATAATACTGAGTTGGATACCACATCACTTGTTACATCAGCATGGTAACCGGTTAATGCTTCAATCAGCTGTCTGAATACTTAATTGTTTAAAACTTTACATCTTAAATAAAATTTTAAAAATAACAAATAAAAGTTTTAAAAATATATTACTCGAAATAAAAATCAAATTAAAGTAATTATTTTTTCAAACAATTTACCAAAACAAAACAATACGATAGCTTTTTTCACGATCTTGGAATCAGACCGTAATTGTTATTTTTTTTATAAAAGAAATTTGGTCCTTGTTAAAAGCTACGTAAGCGTGGGTAGTTGGAAGTTATTTCCCGTTTGGAAAATGAAATCGTCTGAAAACATCAAAAAAACTACTCCATATTGAGGAACATATTCGACGAATTTCAGTACCAATCTAATCCACAGCAGCAGGCGAGCTGTAGCGCGAAGCTTTATCGGCAAATCAATACGGCGCACCGTCGCCGGCGGACTCTCAGCTTCACGTTTGCAGACTCTGTTAGGTATTAATTACGGTTGCATTTCTAAAAAGGTCAATTTCTTGCATACCAAGATACAACTTATCCCCAAATTCGATTCGTCTTGTTGTATTCTTTAATGTTAATAATTGATGTACGTGGTGGAAATTTTCAAATCGAAGTGATTCTGTGTGATGCATGATGCATCATCCATCGCCATCTTCTTCGTTTACGAGCGTTGCTGAATTTAATTCAGAAAATCTAACCCTAACCCTAATTCCAGGACTCCCGGACGATCTAGCAGCCTTAATTCTTGCTTTTCTTCCGTACTCTTATCATGGGCGACTCAAATCCATTTGTAGATCATGGAAATACTTCTTTTCATCGAGAATCCTACACTCAATCCGCCGTAAACATATCCCTTTCTCTAAACGCTCTCACCTCCTCTGTATCTTCCCCCAAGACCCTTCAGTTTCTTCACCTTACATATTCGACCCTCAAAATCTCGCCTGGTGTTATCTTCCTCCCATGCCATGTAACCCTCACGTATATGGTCTCTGTAATTTCACTTCTGTTTCCCATGATTCTCACCTTTATGTGCTTGGTGGTTCCCTTTTTGATACCCGATCATTTCCACTTGATCGTCCATCTCCATCTTCCTCTGCCTTCCGGTACGACTTTGTGACACATACTTGGGATTCTCTTCCTCCCATGCTTTCACCTCGTGGGAGCTTTGCCTGTGCAGCAATCCCTAATACCGGTCGGATTCTTGTGGCCGGTGGTGGGTCCAGGCACACCATGTTTGGTGCTGCAGGAAGTAGGATGAGTTCTGTGGAGATGTATGATATTGGAAGGAATGAATGGATGGCATTGGATGGATTGCCCAGGTTTCGAGCAGGGTGTGTTGGGTTTATGGTGGGCAATGGGGATGAAGAGAAAGAATTTTGGGTTATGGGTGGGTATGGTGAATCTAGGACGATATTGGGTGTTTTTCCTGTAGATGAGATTTACAGGGACGCGGTGGTGATGAAGTTAAAAAATGGCGGAGTTGGAAAGTGGAGAGAGCTTGGGGACATGTGGGAAGAAGGAGAAAGGAGTCGGCTTGGAAGAATTGCCATTGTTGAGGATACAAATGGGGGTTCTCCTGGAATTTTCATGCTTGACAAGAATGACATATTCAGGTAAGCTGTCATGTCTTCAATTATAAAAAGTTGTAAATGATCAATGACTTTTTCCATAAGCTTCCCTGCATCATGCATTTACGTGTTGGCTATCTAGGTCAATGACCTTCTCCAGAAGCTCCTGTATTTCTAAATCTTTACAGGAAAGAGGGACCGGTTAGATGAAGGTCATGGAGCTAAATCTTTTTAGAAGGTCATGCTCCTGACTGAAAGCTCATTTAAGAGCATTTATCTTAAGAATCCATTTATTTGTTGACATATTTGTTCTCATGCTACCATACACATGATTGTGATGTCAAATATGCTAGCAGGATAATTTAGGTATTAAAATTTGGTGTAAACTGTTGATCACTATTAAAAGGAAGTGGTGTTTTATATACTTGTTTTAAAGAAAAACACTTTATTGAACTTGGAGGTACATGAATGAAGTTTGGCCACCTGGTAAAAGCCTGACTAATGGAAGATATACATATAGATATTGGCTTCTCTAGTCCTAGAAACATGTCATTTGGTTTTACCTCTCCAGCTCCTTTCTTTCTGCCTATGCTATCTACAGATCCTCACCCCTAGTCTGCTACCCCAATCTTGCATCTCCAAGAACTCATATCAGAGGTCATGTCCTTGGAAATGCCTAAAACTTTTATGTCCAACCTCAGTTGATGAATTACTAGTTGTCTTCCCACAATACTTCACACGTTCCATAAATTCTTAGTAGATACTTAAACTAGATACCTGCTTAAATGCTTTCATATATGTAAACCGTTGTACACCTTTTGTTTGCTTAGGGTGCGTTTGGCACCCAAAATAGGACAACTGTTCAGCGTTTGGTAAGACATGACTGATCGGACAGGATTGTTAAAATGACTAATTTACCCCTAATGAGTTGTTTAGATCCTCTCTATATTTTGATTAATCCATGTTATTTATTATAAAATAAATATTTTTATAACAAAATATATTGTTAGAAAGTTTTCAACAAGACGATTAAAATGACACCAAAATATGAAGTTTATTAATTTCCAATTTTTATTTTATACCTTTTGTATATTATTTTTATTATTATTAATATCTAATAAATTACATAAATTAACCAAAATATAGAAAAAGTATATGAATAATATTTTGAGGACAGTAAAATGAAAGTTTAAGGAGGATAAAATACAATAAATAAAATTTAAAGAATTAATAAAATGTAAATATGGAGACGTATTTGATGTTTAGAAAAGAATTAAGTTTTATTTTGTGGGTATATAGGTAAAAAAAAGGCTTGTTCCACGTTGTTCCTTGGGGTGGGGTGTAACACACCTGTTCCACATAGAAGTCATGCCAAACGTGGAAAAGTGATCGCTGTCCTGTTAAGTACCAAACGCACCATAACTGATGTTACTTTTACCACCTTCAGAGTATCAACTTCTATTTTGAAACGAATTTGGAGCGTGAACGAAGTCCTACCACAATTTCTAGTCTTATGACAATGGCACCTAATTTAACATAATTCCAACATGGTTTTAGGTATGACATGGCTTCAAATCGCTGGTGGAAGGAAACTAGTGTGCCAAAAAGAGCCGCAGATGAGTCATCAGTAGGGTTTGTTGCGCTGGATGGTGAGCTGCAAGTTATGGCCCTTCACAGTGGAGCTGATCCAACAAAGAACCGAAGGCCAAGACGGCTTAAGAGGTCAGCGTCTCTATTCCTACAAATATACCATCCTGAGAAGAAGATATGGAGAACCCTTATCACCAAACCACCATTCCAGCAACCTTTAGATTTCAAAACCGCAGTTATGTGCACTATTAGACTCTAAAATGGATTATCTGGTTTGTGACTTTCATACAAATTTGTTAAATCCACTTATCAGTAGTAGTAGTAGTAGTAGTAGTAAATCATATATTGGTTTCATTGTATAGCATGGTGTTGAATCAGTTGTCCATTTACCATCTTGAAGGAAACCATTCGCTCAAGGTTATCATGTGTACATAAGAAATATAAATAAAATTGTTAATAATTTGATTTTGTAGTATTTCTCTTTTCAAAGAATATCATCGATTATGTTGTTAAGTTACCTTTTCTTTCTGCAGAATGTAATGCTTCCTTTTCTCAAATAAGATGGTTTCAACTCTGTTATTTGAATCTTGTTTACGTCACAAGTAAACCAAACCAAAAGGATCCGGTATATCTAATCCCACTCAAAAGTAGAGTCACCCCCTGGGGAGGGGGGAGGGGGGTTGAGATGTACGTATACCTGATCTATTATGGCAAAAAGTAGAGTGACTGTTTTCTTGAAGACCCCCAACTTGTGCAAGAGTAATAGCACATGGCAAACATAGAACGGGAAAATAAGAAAAAGATATAATGAGTAGGTACATTGAAAACATACACAAGGGAAGGTAAGGTGAAACTACCATATGTGCTACATGTCCCCACAAGTAGTCTGCTACCCTAGTCTTCCGGCTCCATGTCCTATCAGATGTCATGTCATCGGAAATTCCTAAGGCCGCCATGTCCATCCTCAAGTGGAGCACTCATAAAACACTAGATCTAAATTAACATTCTTGGTGGACTGTCTTATTACCACATAAACCTGCTAGAGCTGGTAGACACCAAAAGGGAGTCAACTGATGTCACAAAACAACACCCGAAAGTCAACTTAGGTCAAAACTCACTGGCTTAACTTATTAAGCCGCTGTTCTGTTGAGTTTGCCTTTCTTTTGTGGGTTCTCTTCAGCCGAACTACTGCTTCTGTTCTCTTTAGTTATTGGACGGCTTGCTGATCTACTAATCCCCTGCGAGCCTTCCCCATAGACTTGTGGGCTAAAATCGGGAAAAGCTCCAGATCCTTCACCTTCCATGCTGGTTCCACTTCGTGGTGTGTGGATCCCACTGGTTCCAATAGAGCCGATGCCAAGCTGGCTCTGTAACGCATGGTGTTGCTGCTGCACCGATGTAAAGGGTGGCTGCTGATCAAATGCTGTATGTGATTGAGCCATCATATGGAACTGTGGGACCATGTGGTGCGATTGCAATTGTTGCTGCTGCTGCTGCTGCTGCTGCTGCTGCTGCATGAGTTCATATAGGGCCATATTACTATCTTTAGCGTGTTATGATACATATAAACAAAAAAGAAGAACGATAGCCTTATGTGTTTGTGTATCATCTGTTGTACAACCACCTTGTGATGCACCCTAATCTCCTAAGTGTGTTTGGTACGTAGGACAAGACAGTACAAAAACATGTCTCATGTTTTGTGTGACAGCAGACTGGGACAGGACATGACTTGAGTAGGACAAAAATGCATTTTTTCCTGGTGGAATAAAAATCAAGAAGATGTGACAAGATAGGTAAATTACTAAACTACCCTCCTAACTTTTCAAATCTTGATCATATCCGTCTTTCTCTCTTTGTTACTGTTTTCATAAGCTGGTGGTCTTCAAGGAAACAACCGCTCTCCTCTTTGGGTAGACGTTAAGTCGGCGTACATCTTACCCTCCCCAGACCCCCACCTCAACTGAGATGTACCGAGTTCGTTTGATTTGGTTACCCATGTCAAATTAAAACCCTTATACCTTCTGCAACTCTTACCCCCCCCCCCCCCCAAAAAAAAAGAACCTCATTCTCTTTCCTCTAGTCATGTCCAATCCCTTCCGTGTACCAAAAGCACCCCCTAGTACTAGATGAAATACACACAATGATCAGAAGTTCAGATTATTACCTGAAGATGAATGGGAGATGGCTTCGATTGGCAGTCGGCTATTGCAGCCAAATACATGAGATTTTGCTGAAGCCTCGTTTGGTTTCTGGACAAAATTATCATATTATTTTCACAACTGTCATTTCCATGATACCCTTTGAAGGAAAAGTATGTATATATATACACTTACTCTGCACATTCACTGAACTTCCCTGTATTCTGATTCTCCAAGATGTTCAAGATAAGTGCCTTGTTTTCATCCAAATACTGCACATACACAATCGGTCAATGACACCTCGATTCTAACCGTTGACCTTAGTGCACCAAGGCCGATCGGCTTTAACCGTTGACCTTGGTGCACTAAGGCTTGTCGGCTTTGTAGAGGTTCCTAATTCTTTTGATTCTGTTAGAGTCCTATCAACTAGACTTCGACTATTTTTGTTCCGTATATATTGGAACCTCATTTTTCTTTTCAAGGGCTATTTTGGAAAGTAATCTAACGGGTTCCACATGTTCTCACGAATATATATATATAGAGAGAGAGAGAGAGATGAAAGACCTGTTGGATGTGATCAGTAGTAACACTTGTGGTGTTGAAGTGCTGCTGCTGCTGCTGCTGCATCTGGTGCATGAGTTGTTGCTGCATGCTTTTTTATCTGTGATCTCACCTGCTATTCTGCTACTTTTATATGTATATATTTTATATGGATTGATTTTGGTAAGTATAGGGTTGGGGTAGATGACTCTTTTTGTTTCTTGATGTCCTCTAAATAAATAAAAGTAGGGGTGTAGGGCAGTGGTAGCATCCTGTGATCTCCTTTAAGGATGCCATTTATTGTAAGTCTATCATACCTTCTCTTGGGATTCTCACTCACTCTCTTCAATGTCACGACTCTTATCTACAAATTCCAAGATGATATGAATATATTTATATATATTATAAAAATGTTATTTTGATGTTATAGTCAAAATCCCAGTAGAAAAAACCATAAATTAAACGAACTCAGTATATCTCACTCGAATATGTAAAAAGGTTGGTGTTATTTTAATGATAATGTTGTGTTATGGATGAATAATGGAATGGAAGGGTGGGTGGGACCAAGAGAGAATAAAATGATGGGAAGATAGGGGAGCACGTGAATGCAATGTATGTGTAAGGAGATGGTAAAATGGAATGAAGATGGAATGTGGATGAGATGGGTGGAGGGTACGAGGGATCTTCACCTCCTAACACGTACTTGCTACGTATGCATCTAAAACACGAAATATATAGGCGAAACTATCTTGTTTTCGTAAGATATGTGAGATTATATTTTTATATTTGAAATTTTAGAGTAAAATATTGTGAAGATAAAAATATCTGAATTTTCACAGTAGAAACGTTAAGAAGGTTACCTTCACTATGTTTTTTTAGTGAAGTTTTAAATATAAAAATGTGGTCTTACGGGTCTTACGAAAACAAACTGGTTTTACATGATCCTAAAATATATATATAGTATAGATATATATATATATACACACACACACACACACACATATATATATATATATATATATGTGTGTGTGTGTGTGTGTGTGTAAGGTTGGGTTTCAATAAGAAAGAAAATCTGGTGAAAAGCGTAAGAAGAGATCTTCACCCTTGAATCAATCATAATTGAATGTCAACATTAATGAGGTGTACCGAATCAATTACAATTCTTAGATGAGCATGAAATTAAAAATGATTAGGAGTTCAGATTTCTTTTTAAGTTTCTCATCATAACTTCTATTCTCTCTCTCTCTCTCTCTCTCTCTCTCTATATATATATATATATATATATATATATATATATATATATATATATACAGGGATGAATTCAAACAAGAACGTATGAACATTTTTTTACTACAGTCAATTATATGTGATACTATATTCCATTATTTACACGTGATACTAAATAAGAGACGTGGACGACATTTGTCGCGACCTAGGTTGTGGGTCAAGTCGCCTGTACACCACCAACCCCCCAAGTGTAGTGTATTATCACATGTGATAAAAATGTTCTTCATGTTATATTATAATCTATCACATGTGATATTATAATCTATCACATGTGATATAATAAATTAAAGACGCAAACGACCTTTGGCGCGACCTAGTCGCAGGACAAGTCGTCCGTACACCACCAGGTCCCCTCACGTGTATTAAAACATGTGATAAGGATGTTCTCATGTTTTTATAAAATGGAGAATTTCTTGTTTGAACCTGCACCGATATATTATATGTGCGTGTATGACGGAGGATCAAATGAAAACAAACGCTTACAGATAAGCGTTGATAAATAGGTCCGTAAACTCATTCTTCAGTAGGCACGTGGTTAGAACCCCGAATCTTTTGAGTTGTAAATTGCACAATTTGTATGAAAAAGTTACGTACTTTAACTTGATTCCTATTTTGAGTAACGTACTTTCAAAACTTTCATTTTGGGTACCTAAGATGTAAACTTTTAAACATTTAAACATTCGGGTAACCGGTTATTATACTGATGTGACTAGATGTGATATTCAACTCAATATTATTTCCTGACATGGTTAGTGACATATTTTTTTAAATCTAAATTTATTCTTTTTTTAATCTAAAATTAGTCTTCAATCGTTTACCCGGGTATTTAAATGTTTAAAATTTTACATCTTAAGTACCAAAATGAAAGTTTTAAAAGTATGTTACCTAAAATGAGAATCAAGTTAAAGTACGTTACTTTTTCATGCAATTTGCCCTTGTAAATTCTCAACAAAATTGGTAACATTGGTATAACAATTTTATAAATAAAATCAATTAAATTACTGATTTACGTTGAACCAACCAAATTGATAAAAATCGATTTAATAAAGACTTTTAACATATTTTAAAACATTATTACAAACAAATCTTATAAAATACCAGTTCTAAATTAAATCCAACAAATCAAATCAGCATTAAAAAACAATACAATACATAAATAATCATACATGTATACTGTATACCAACCAATGTTTATCTTATCTTAAAAAAAACCAAAGAAAATTCAACACTTTTGAAATATAACATTTTTTATATAATATAATGTATATGTATGTCTTGTAATAACTAAATTTATAATATGAATTTAGTAAAAGTTAATTCAAATTATTTATTAAATATCTAAATACAAGAATAAAATAATTTGAATCTTATTAATATAAATCTGTTAAAAATTTGTATCAGTTGGATTTGGACCATTTCTTTTTTTATATGTTGGGATCTTATTTTCTTCTCACTGACTTTTTTGGAGGGTAATCCAACAAGAGTTCCATATTAGCTCATGTGGTATCGAAGTCAATGTCTATCATTCTAGAGACTTGGAATTTCAGGGCAATCTGTACTCAGCGGCGGACATATGAAGGTTCCAATAGGTCTTGTGCACCTGTTTAACCGATTTTCGCAAGTAGAACTTCTTTGGGGTACTAAAGGTGCACTGTTAAACTTTAAAGGATGCTTCGGAATATTAGAAAATACAAAAAACATCAACCAAAAAATTGAAAAAGTTTTTCGAAATCAGCAAAAAAATATTTAAAAAAATCCCTCAAAATCAATTAAAAATCCCTTAAGATGGTGAAATTTCAGTTAAAAAGATGAGTTGATTTTGTGGGCCTTTGGTCTATCTTGAAAGTGAAACCATACGACAAAAACTCTGGGTCTGCCTATGTCAGCACTCATCTAGCCCCCTTGACTGAGACCAAGGTTCTAAATGACGTAAGACGAAACATGGGTTGGCGGTGGTATCATGTCTCAAGCCTCATGAGTCACGACGAGGTCATTATGTTTTCCAAGGCATGCCCTAAGGCGACATATGTATGTATACATATATCTGTGTATATGCATACTTATGTGTGTTAATCTTTTGGATACAATTTAAATTCATATAAAGTTATAAAATTAAAAAAAAAAAAAACCATTTACATCAAACTTGTAAGAAAATGATATCCAAAAGTGGAAATCGGGATTAAATAGTAAAGATTTATGTCTCTATCGTTTCTTTTTTAATTTTTATTTAACTTTTAGATGTGGTACATACTTATCATTTATTCTTCAAGTTATATGTTTTAAAAAAAAGTAAAAAAAAAAAAAACCATATCTTACAAAATAACGCATTGTAACGCGCCATAATGGTTATAGAAGCCGAGACTTAGAGTGGAGCCATAGAGGTTATTATGGCGACAAAGCTCGTAACTCGCAATAATGAGTCATTTAGAATCATGACTGGGACGATATGTGTCGTCTAGTCTCTATTGGAATTTAGAGGCGACGTGTTAAAGTCCTACATCAATTAGACTTGAATCACTTATTTTTCTTATATACTGAAACATTCATTTTTTTTATAAAGACTATTTTAAAGAGTAATCTAACGAGAGCTCTATAAGCTCTCACAAAATCACTGTATAATTGTTTGAAAAAGTCAACAAATTTTATAATCTGAAAATGGAAAATAGAAATTTAAAGAAATTAAATAAAAAAAAAAGGAAAACCACGCAAACACCTACTCGAGCCATGACGTGTAAATCTTGTCGTATTATTAGTTAATTTTTTTTTTTTTAACTGGGATTGTTTTTTTTATTGAAAAAAATCACCTCAGTTATATAAAAAAAAGTTAACCGGAGTCATGGACAAACCTATAGTGGTGTATATGGTGGCTCGTGCCAATGTATAATTCCTCCATTAAAGGATGAAAAAAATTATGTTTGTGAAACGTGCAATCGTATTATTTGTTGCATGCCACTGTATGTATTTTGAAACTACAATGATAACAACTTTTATTTGATAAAGTTGGTTTGTAAGACTTTTATTTCACCTCAGACCCAAGTATGAATTCTGTTAGTGTCATTTTCTTATTCAAATAGTGCCATCGTTTGAGGAAAAAATTATGTATATTTGTTTCTTATAGTTAAACGGTGACACTATTTGAAATTTTTTCCGTATAGTTTTCTCCTTGTAGTCAAATGGTGTCACCGTTTTAAAAAATTTATGGGTCTCTCCCTGACTGGGGTTGTTTTTTTTAGGCATTTGTCAGATAGCGTTTACTGATATCACTTAACTTACTAATATAGTATAGAAAAAATCAAGGTCATCTATTAACATGTTAAATATGGGTTTTTGAGCCTTAATTGTAAACGCACCTCGATGAAAAACCTATCAAAATACTTTCAAAACCAAAAGCGACTTTTTAATTTCAGAATTTGCCGACCAAAAACAAAAAAGGCCTCATCAATATTCTTTTAACCTTGTCATTTTATACATTTTTGCTGTATCAATATGTAACATGCAATGAATTTTTATATTTTATTTTGTTTATTACACGTTTCAGACAGTCTATAGTTTTAGTACAGATGTAATAATGCCTCCAAAAAGATTGAGACAGTCCTAAAAAGAACGAAAAATCTTATCTGATAAGAGGTATAACAAGAACCCAGAGTTTTATTTTTCGCTGTATATCTAAACGATGTCTCTTCAACAGTTTTTAGTAGAACTGATAAATTAATATCATATAATCCTAACTCACGTCGAACACTCACTCGTAAATTATTAAAAGTACAAATGAAATAATCAAGTTTTTTTATTTATGGATTTATAAAAATTCAAAAGTAAAAAACCACAAAGAGTGGTGTGTGATTGATTTGAGCTTGAACTCTAAATATCAAAAGTGCCTAGAGGTTCTCAAGTTCAAATCCAAGGAGAAATAAAAATTTCATTATGACCATTGAGGTTCAAATACGGTGACTTCGGACTACCCACAAAGTAAATGATCGTTC